TCGGGGGGGGGGACAGTTCCACTTCCCTTGTTAGTATGATATTTCTATAAGGGAAAAATGTAACTATTTTGCTACGTTACCCCAATATTTTAGTAATATTAACATTGCTACTTTATAATATCGGACATTAATATAACATCCCATACAGCACAGATCTTGCAGCAACATTGCAGTAATATTGCGGCAACACTGCTGCAACTTTTAACATTGCTGCAACGTTGCAGCAATATTGCTGCAAGATCTGTGCTGTATGAGATTACATTGACATTAAATAAAATATAACTTAGTGAAAATATTCTGGCAACATTCTAACAATAATAACGTTGACTTTTGTGCTATGTGAGTGTAGACACAGATGGCTATGGTTTTGCTGTGGGTTTTTGATCAAATTTGCTGCCAATCTGCGCGCAGTCTGCGTTCAATTTGCTTACTGTTATATTTTAATAACAAAATGTTGTTAAGAGAAAAGCGTACATTTTGGCCAAGAGTAGATTTGTTTTTACTTAATTATATATGACATATTTATTTAATTATTTGATATATGTACGCGAAACCCTTATAGAAATATCATACTAAGAATCATTGATAATTACCCTCACAGCACATTAATATTGCCATGAGCTTACAACAACCTTAAATTGTAAGATGGTATCATTACAGGGAAGTTAATAAACCTGTCACTAACCTTCTAATAACATGAAAATGTTCGCCCATGTTCATTCCATTAACATTACAGAAACCTTATACGGAATGTTATATTAAAGTTAATATAATATGCCTAGAATCTTTCAATATTTTTAATAAGAAATTCTTGATAAAGAAATTTATATTCAGCTTAGTCGATTTATATTGATTTTAAATAAAATTTAGCTCTTTTATTTGATTTTTCACTATTTTCACACCTGAAAATTTACTCAATACTAGTCGGACGCGAACTTGAGATCTCAGATACCTCTAAGTTCCTAGTCTATCATTTTGACTGCTGCGCTATTTATTCAACTGATACTAAAGGCCATTCTACAATAGCTGTAAGAATATGGCTGTAAGGCTGTAAGACTCGAAATTAATTATTTTCATTCGCTGATAGCTCACGTTACAGCCTTATAGCCATATTTTTATAGCAATTGTAGAATGGCCTTAAGACCGGTATTCATAGTCCGATCTTATATTTAAGATCATCTTAAATACTGTCTTAAGATGTCATGAACCAATCATAGAGCCATATTCGCATCTTAAAACATTACTTCAGACCGTCTTGAAATAAGATTCAACTATGAATATCGGTCTAAGCATTTTTTATTATCCCCACATGCGCCGCCGAAACAGTAATTATAATTTTTTTATAATATTGTTTAAAACAATTACAAAAATAAACTATGTAATCCAAATATTTCATATAATAAAAGAAAATTCAGAGATATACATAAAACTAAAGCATTTGAAGCGGCTATTGAATACAACCTAGAGTTAATTTTATTATTAATATTTTAATTTAATTTAGTTATATTTGCTTTCTTAATAAAAAAAATTTTTATATATGAAAAAGTTGTATATACAATTAAGTGATTATTAATAAATTATATTTAAATTGTAGTATTTTTAAGATAAACAGAAAGTGAAGTAATTACAATAAGTTTACTGAAATATTAAAGATTATATTAACTTCATGACAATATTATAATGTAAGGTTATCTTGTAAGATTCATGACAGATTGCAGTAACATGCTCATTAAAATGTGTAAGCTTGTAATCTACCCATAACCTCACTGCAATGTTCGGTGCTGTGAGGGTACTTATTATCCAGTATTTTTAATACTGAAAATAAGTAATTATCAATGATTCTTAATATGATATTTCTATAAGGGAATGGGACATATATTAATTACTTAAATAATTAATTAAATAAATACGCGATACGATTAAACGACCGGAAGCCGACTTGCTCGCATTTCTTTCCTTAACGTATACACAGACAATCGGTTTATACGTGTGACGTTTCGTCGCCGGCTCCCGAAATCGCATCGCTAGTTTGGCATAATTCAAGCAGCTCGAGTATATACCATAGTTCGAGAGAAGAAAGAGAGCAGATTTTGTCTGCGCTCTTCCATCGTCCGAAGTCAACCGAAGTGAGAGGCGCACACGGACGGGTACGCATCATGGGAGCCGTCCCCTCTACGCGCTATCAGCGTGCTATAAGTATAACTCATTTGGCATCCCTGCTGCCATTGTAGACGACGCATTATGTCAATTCCTGTGCGGCGTCCCTAAGAGCCGTGGCACACAGAAAAGCTTAAGCAGTATGACGTAGCAGTAAGCAAATTGACCAATCACAATCGTTAATTTTTCTTACGGTCTAATAATCAACGACTGTGATTGGCTGATTCGCTTACTGCTTACGCTTAGGGTCATTCTACAATTGCGTGAACGTGGTTGTAAGTGGTTGTATGTGATTACAACCAATCAGAATAAAGCAATTAGTAAATAAAACATTCGGATTGGTTGACTCTTATGATCACGACTACGCTTACGCAATTGTAGAATGGGCTTTACTGCTTAAGTTTTTCTATGTGCCACCAGCTTAAAGGGACGTCTACATTGGAAGTAAATAGCAAGAAGTAGGAAGTAAGAGTAAGAAATTGACCAACCACAGTCGAATGTGAGAAGAATAATCAACTATGATTGGTCAATTTCTTATTCTTACTTCCTACTTCTTACTGCTTATTTCCAATATAGACATCCCTTAAGGCTTATTTAATGCTGCAAATACTTCAGAGCGATTGATAGACCAATCGTATTGCTTTATTTAACGTTTCAAAGCATTTGAAGTGTTGAATGGACCTTGCCTAAGAGACTTTTAACTTCGAAATGTTTCCACATGTTTTATTAGTTGCGTTCAACAGAGAAAGCTGCTTTGCAACTGTTGTAAAATTCGTGAATTTGATTGGAGTATGCTCTTAATTTTGGTTAAATACATGTACCAATCAGATTCACGAATTTTACACAGTTGCAAAGCAGCTTTCTCTGCTGAACGCAGCCATTTGCTTGTTCGAATCGTTACCAGGATATTGGGTTTTTCGAGCATTTTCTTGGGTTTTTTACATTATACGGTAAAATACGTATAATACGAATAATACGTATAAAAATGTATAAAACGTGTAATATCTAGGATTGATACAAAAACAGAAACTGTTGATTATCATCTATGTAGTTGATAATTTCTGTTTTTCTACAAGCGTAAGTTCTGATTGGCTTTCTATCTTTCTGCTTTCTACCAAGGCGATGCACTTGGACACGGTGCATTTGGATACAGCCAATCACAGCACCGTGTGATTAGAGACATTTGTAGGATCCCTTGGAACAGGGACTTGTGATTGGACTGTGTCCAATTGCCCCGTGTCCAACTGATATACACCCCCGCGCGACAGCCAATCAATATGTTGTTTTTCCGTAAGAGCTAGAAGGTTATTACGGAAAGCAGCATATTGATTGGCTGTCGTGCGAACTTCTGCCGCGCAGCAAGTATTACTGCGTCCTGTGTGCAGGAGCCATTATTGCACTTATTGCACTAGTTTAGGCAGTTCAGCTAAAAGAACAGACCTCCTTTTTAAAATCTAACCTTACTCAAAACAACAAAATTGTTTTTAACAAGATTTTTTATAATTTTTTGTTAAAAATAAATAATTGGAGTATTATCCCAATATAATAAAAAATATAGAAAAGGTGATAATGGATAAAAACGTTGTAAGTATTCATTATTAATCATTAAAAAGGATTTTATAATACTGTTTAATAGCGAATTCGGTTGCTTACACTAGTGCGCACTGAGTGCGCACTAAGGCTTGTTCATAGTATGTTATTATATTTAAAGATTGTCTTAAATAATTCTCAAATAAATTCTCAAATATTTTTAACCATAATATGATATGTATAACATCCGTACGAATCATTTTATTAGCTAAAATGTTCTTAAATATGTATTTAAGACACGATCTTAAATATAAGAATGTACTGTAAACAAGCCTTAATGCGCACTCAGTGCGCACTAGTGCAAGCTACCGAATTCGCTATAACAGTCAATAAATCTTATAAACATAAATCTTCAATTTAACAGTCAATAAATTTGATAAACACTAAGACCCACATTCTCAACTCTTTTATATCAATAGATTTGTTCTTTTTCGTTGTATTGATAGGTTACATTCAGAAATCCTACTCAATGGATAAGGTTAAGCCAGCGGCACATGATGCTTGTTTTCTTGCTGGATTGCTTGCTGAATGGAAATATTCTATTCTGATTGATCTGTCTTCAGAAATGCACCAATCAGAACAGAGTATTTCCATCCAGCAAGCGATCCAGCATGAAAACAAGCATCGTGTGCTGCTGGCTTTACTTAAATAAACCAATCATAATAAATAAATCTTAGTTTTCTTTTTGCCTTGATTGGCCAATTAAATGTTATTCTACTAATCGAGTAGGATTTTTGAACGCAACCCTGTACTGCTGAAATAAGTTGGAATGAGACGAATATATGTTTGTCTCACGCTTATTGCACCAGTGCAACAGTGCAACAAAAAAGAACTTGATAAAAGCATCTCTACAAATGGTTTTATAAGCTTTGTGATTGGCTATCAGCTACTTTTAGAAACGTTTTTAGCGATAAAAGAGAGTTTAAAATATGGAACTTAGAATAATAGTAATGACGCTAGCAAATCCCCTATAAAGTCTGCATTCTGATATTTACTGCAAATACTGAAAATCTATAATAAACGTGACATAAACTATAGATTTTCAATATTGGCTGTGAATACTGGAACGCAGTTAAAATTAACTACACACATGATGTAGAGATGGCGCCACAGAAAGTATAATATATATAAAACTAAAAGTATTATACTGTACAATACTGTGTATAATACAATGTATAATATCTCAGTATAATATGTGTCTAACCCTGATTGTCACGAGATTATCGCACAGTGTCTCGAAAAATTTGCTAAAGATGGGCCAGCTTGAAGACGTCAAGATGTTTGCGGCTTACAAAGCCGTGGACGAGTACGTGCAGGCAAGAGAATTTATTTAAAGATATATTAAATGGCCCGACGTTGAAGGTTATTTTAATGTCCCGGTGAATTTCATTATTTTTCAGAATAACACTGTTGTCGGCATCGGTAGTGGATCTACCGTAATTTATGCTGTTCATAGACTTGGTAATGATAATTTTTTACCATAATTATTTGACGTTGATTGTATTTAAAGATCATATCGTGCGTCATAATTCAATCGGTCATTTTAACGAGAGCATTATTCCGAAATTTTCACTTAAGAAACGTAAACTGTATTTGGTTGTATTAATATAACTATATAAAAACATATATGATTGCTTCTTTTACGGAAAAATATTTGCAAGATAATTAAACATTATAAGAAATCCATTTGTGATATTGTAATAAAACTTTTGAGTAATGAAGTTATTTGAATAATGATATTATACAAGGTGTCCGGTGATATTATACTGATCGAGCAGCCGCCGTGTACGGGTAGAACGGGTCAAAATAATCATAAAAGTTATATACCATTTTGAAATTTTCTCAATATTTATTAATTAATTAAAATATATAAACGAATGAGCTCACGAGAAGCGGTAGAGCAGGCTCTGTGTGTAAAAGAAATGGCTTATCTCTTAGCAACGATGAGTAAACAACTGATTTCGAGGCGGAGTAACAAGCGTATACGTTATTCTGCCTCGAAATCAGCTATCTCATCGTTGCTAAGAGGTAAGCCATTTCTTTTACATACAGAGCCTGTCCTACCGCTTCTCGTGAGCTTATTCGTTTATACATTTTAATTAATTACGGAATAAATATTGAGAAAATTTCAAAATAGTATATAACTTTTATGATTATTTTGACCCGTTCTACCCGTATACGGCGGTTGCTCGATCAGTTACCGGACACGCTGTATACAAAACAATATGTTTATATTGGTAGCTGTTTGGACATTATTTTTCTCTTTCAAGAATCACCTAAAAAATGTAAACTTTACTATTACAATATATTTTATTCATTCTTCTTTGGATTATTTTGCTGAAAAACATGTGGTTGAGTTGAACTATGACCTTTTGTACCGATAACATCAGTATATTTTTACTTTCTCTAGTTTATTAAACTGTATTATGTAATTGATTATATAATGCTTTATTTATTTGTCTAAAAAGAAATGAGAATATAGGAATAATAAAGAATATAGGAATAAATCACAAATTTACTATTAAAATTTTATGATAGAAGTAATGGTAATAGTATATTATTTGAGTACATAGAATTTGTCTAACTATAATTACAAATTAATTTATCTCATTTCTTTTTAGTTAATTATATGTTAGAAAACTTGATTATATGTATTTCTACTTTATTTTTTAAGAGGTGATTTTTTTTAAGTTTCTAGTAAATATGCAAATTTTTGAAGGTTTATATCTTATATATGTTTACAAGAATTTAATTTAATTTTTAGCCAAGCGTGTCAAAGATGAAGGACTCAATGTAGTCTGCATTCCTACTTCATTTCAAGCTCGGCAACTTATAGTGGATAGTCATCTAACTTTAGGTGACTTAGAAATCTATCCAGAGGTAACTGATTATTAATAGTTAAATCAGTTTTATTGCATATTTAATAAGTGCGAATTGAATGTAACAGCTAGATTGTGCAATTGATGGAGCTGATGAAGTTGATGCTGAATTGAATCTCATCAAAGGTGGCGGTGGATGTTTGCTACAAGAAAAAATTGTTGCTTCTTGTGCCAAGCAGTTTGTTGTCATAGCAGACTATACGTAAGTATAAAATGTATTGTGTTATTGATTGTAATTGTTACATATAGTTATATTTTGTTTTAGAAAAAATTCACAAAAGCTTGGTGACAAATACAAGAAAGGGATTCCTATTGAGGTTGTTCCTATAGCATATGTGCCGATCCAACGTAGAATCAAGACCATATATGGGGGAACTGCAAATATCAGGATGGCTTTGGCAAAAGCTGTAAGCATGTATTTTTATTTCTCATTTTATTAGACCAACTATATATATATATATATATATATATATATATATATATATATATATATATATGTATATGATATGTATATATGTATGTATATACACACACACAGGGTATCCCAGACTCTCCTCCGCATATTTTAGGAATGTAGAATAGGTTGAAGTAAACATAAAAGTCCTATACCGTTTTGCGATATTCGCAATAATAACCGAAAAATTAATCGTAAAAGATTAAGGAAAAACACACGCTGAATGGTTGAGGGAGGAGCGCTCGCGACCCAGTAATTTTATATATATATACACACATACACGTACACACACACACACACACACACAAAATCACATAAGTAATGTATGTATTATCCACAGGGTCCAGTAGTAACGGATAATGGAAATTTTATTTTGGATTGGAAGTTTCCAGGAGACATAACTGATTGGAGTAAAGTCAATAAAGAAATATCTCTGATACCTGGAGTCGTAGAAACAGGTCTATTTATAAATATGGCCAAAAAGGCTTTCTTTGGCATGCCAGATGGCAGTGTGAAAGAACAGTTTAAACTTTGAAGAACCAAAGAAGTTAACATGTATTAATATGCTATTTGTACTTTTTGTATATATAGACAATGGTTATGTCCAATAATTCTTATAGATTTTACCAAGACCAAAGACCTTTAAGGTAGTTATTTCCCAACTGTGGTAGTCAAAATTAGATTTTAAATAAAGTTCAACAACCGATGAATTCTTTTCAGTGAAAGTGAAAAACAGTTTTTAAACATTATTGGTTCTTTCAGAATAGTAAAAATCGATAGAATAAATAAAATGATAGAAAAAAAAAAAAGTATGCTGACGCTTGTAGTCGCGGAACTATAGATCGTGGCAACGTTTCATCTCTATTAGCGCTATGCGACAAGCTGTACAACGTTGCCATATCTGCAAAGCATGGTCACGCATGAAAAAGCAAAAGCCACACTTATTTTTTCTGATTAATTATACTCTAATAATATACGGTCAATTTCACTGAGACTGAAGTATATATTTCTGTAAGTATTCAATTTAATTTTGACCAAATTTTCGTATTAATCCTTAGCGTAGGTCATTTGCAACTGACAAATGCACGTTTACGTGTTCCTTTTTATACGTCAGCGCCATGTAAGATATCGAGAAAAAGAGTAAACTATAAGCGGTAATTTCTCGGAAACTATACGGTCAATCGAACCCATATTTAACACACATACGTATTAATACTTAAATTAATTTTGCTACAAGTTTTAAGATCTGGGACTTCACTGTTTTTGACTTAACTACCTTAATAAGTTTTAGTCATAAAGATTTTAATTTTGCTACACACGTTATTCTATACATATATATGTATGTAGTCATTTATCTCTTATATATTTTTTATACCTGTCGTTTATTTTTAATGTATATAGTACATACAGAATCTACATATACTGCTATATTTTTCTAAAATAAGTATAGAGATATATACATATAATTTTGTAAAAAAAACCAAAGTTTATATAAATTGACATACAGTACAAAATATTCATTATAAAGTACAGTGTTATATATATATATATATATATATATATATATATATATATATATATAATTTTTTAGGCTTTCGCCTGTTATATATATTCATAAGGAAAAGTTAGAAATAAATATATGTTTATACAATGTTTTGTTTCTGTTTAATTTTAAACATTTATGAAATCAATAATAGTATCTTATAAGTTATAATATTAAATATAGCTAAATCATTATACACATAGATTTTCTTTCTTTATACATTTCTCATTATTTTTAGTATTATACGTCTAATATATATACATACATAGAAATCGACAGTCGCCTACACACATACATACATACATACATACATATATATATATATATATATATATATATATATATATATAAGCAAAAATTCAAGATTCACTCTAACTAAACTTCTAAAAGTATTACAGCAAACTAAAAAAAATATAAACTTTGATATAATTCCATTTATTCAATTATCAGTTAATATTAAATGTATTTATGATTAATGAAATTTAAATAATGCGTTTATACATGATACATATGATAAAGGATATTTTTATTAAAAATAAAAAAAAAACGCCCGAACAGGGACTCGAACCCTGGACCCTCAGATTAAAAGTCTGATGCTCTACCGACTGAGCTATCCGGGCAGCTCTAGAAATGGAGGCTTACATATTATACTGTTATACCTGGCTGATTCAAAAGTGAATATACATGCTTTGTGTACATTTGGCATTAGGGACATAATAATTGCTACCGTATTAAATAAAATTTATAATTAATTGTAAACATACACAACATTAGATTAAGTTCCAATATTATTAACTACTCTGCATTTCTCGAACCGGATATAAAGTTGATTTTTTCTTTTTTTCAAACATAGATTATGCGCATATTTTCAAATAATTAACAAGAATGTCAGATTTCATTTGCTAAATTTTGTTTTAAACAACGGCTATTGTCAATAAATGTTTTAAAATTCGTTACCGTATATAAATGTTCGAATATAAACACGGATTGCTATAAACGTATTTATACGTTCTTTCATGTGCACAGCTACATGTTCAGTATTTTACATAAGTCGCATCTCTTATTCATAAGTGCATGTATTATGCGGCAGCTGTGGGCGATAATGATTTACGATTTTGCATTGTTTAACCCAGTACTGACGTTTATATTCTCTTTCAAAATTAAAAGTCGATATTACTTATTGAAACGGAACGATGGCTTTTCGTATTTATTAATTCAGCATCAGCGTTTAATCGCGGGGCGCAATATATTATAACTAATATCTAAAAGCTGTTTATAAATGTAATTTCCGTCTAGCTGTTTGATAATTCACAATTGATAATAAAAATTTATTAATGTATATGTAGTAATAAAAGAAAGAAATGCTTGTCAATTTGTTGGAAATAAATTTAAATTTACAAATTTACAAATACACGTTATACAATTTTATCGCATGCTCAAGAGTTTAGATAAAAACAAGAAAAAAGAAATCGACAGTCGCCACTGGCGACGGGTTGAATGACCTAATCGTAACGCAGCAGGTTCTGATGTGGGAACGGTGTAAGTACTTAACCCCAGCTGTTTTTTCTACGATTTTTACACAGAGACTCTTATCGCGTCGAGTTGCTATAGAAGTATGTCGTAGCGAAGGCTTCCTGGCACTGATTTAATCGACACTAATCCCCCGTTCGGTCCCGCCACTTTCAACTTTCTTTTACATAGTCCAAGTTCTCGTTTGTTATGCGTAAATAGCCGATAAATCATACGCACGAAGAACCCTCAGTGGAAATAGTGCGCTTATATTTCCTCATCACGCAAATAGAGGTGAAATAAGATATTTATCGTTATTATTCTTATCGTTATAAGAAATGTTATCACTGATCTATAATTTATAATTGTTTGTAAGATTTTATTTTTGAAAGAATATTTTTTCAAGTCGAACATTTTCAGGTTGAACAATAAATCATAATAACATCAAAATGACGAGAAAATCATTGAAAAGCTCACTTTTCAATCATCACTCGAAAATTTTCTCATAATTTTGACATCATCGTGATTTTTTGTTCTGCTTCGGTTGCGTCCCAGCAAACACGGAATATAACTAATAATATATAATATAGCAGTAACACGTAATATAACGGATGTTATACGTTATTAATGTTAAAGTTATATAATTTTTTTTATAACTGCAATCTAACTGTGTTTTAGAACTGTTCTAATTCTTTGTTATTTACAGGTTATAATTATATAACACCAATATAACTAAAATATAATATGTTATATAACAAGTGTATATTTATTTGCATTACATCTATGTTATACAGCATTCTTATATCTAAGTATCAGATCATTCGCTAGATGGCTCACGTCTTTCTCGCACATAAAATATGATGCATTAATAAGGTAAACGTCCCAGTGGTCGAACATATATGTCCCAATGATTGACATATTGGTTTTGTATTTTTCTTTGTTGAAATGCTTTTCAATATACAAAACAATATAATAAATGAAAAGAAATATTTAGATACTTTGTGATTTTGTTTCATTTATTGATAAGTATCTTAACAAACACAAGTATATTATTAGTAATTCAATTATCGGTACACGTTCAATCACTAGGACGTTTACCTTATATATAAGAACGATGATTACAAGACGGCACAACTTATACTATGGAGTCCACTTTTATAGTAAAGTGGTACACTTTCTGATTAATGGAAATTATTATTACGATAGTAATCCTTCCCATTTGAATATGTACAAAAAGATGAAAATGAATAAATGAAAATAGCTCCAATAGTATAAAATGCCTGAAGGTGTACAATTAAATATCTATAATTGCTGGGAAATAATCATTTATATTCCAGCTATATAACATTTCAGCAGTATACATAACAGCTATATAACATTTTAGTAACATGTTATATTTCTGTTATACCCTGGTAAAAAAAAGTTTATAGAGAACGATAGAATAAAATAATCATTTTTTATCGTTTTGAATATGGATTTTGGTTCGTGAATTTACAAAATGTGAATAGTATTCTATCGTATACAATAGATAGTGATAGAATTTCTATCGTTATCCTCACAGCACCGAACATTGCAGTAAAGTTATGGGTAGGTTATAAGCTTACACATTTTAACGAGCTACTGCAATTAACTTTACAAGATAACCTTATATTATAATATTGTTATAAAGTTAATATAATCTTTAATATTTCAGCAAATTTACGTGTAATTATTTTACTTTTCGTGTATCTTGAAAATACTACACAATTGAAATATAATTTATTATTAATCACTTAATTGTATATACAAATTTTTTATATATAAAATTTTTTTTATTAAGGAAGCAAATATAACTAAATTAAATTAAAATATTAATAATAAAATTAACTCTAGGTTGTATTCAATAACCGCTTCAAATGCTTTAGTTTTATGTATATATATCTGACTTTTCTTTTATTATATGAAATATTTAGACTAGTTTATTTTTGTAGTTGTATTAAATAATATTATAAGAAAATTATAATTACTGCTTCGGCTACATATGGGGATAATAAAAAACGCTTAGTATCAGTTGAAGAAATAGCACAGCCGAGATGATAGACTAGAAACCTAAAGATATCTGAGGTCTTGAGTCGCGTCCGACTAATACTGAGTAAATTTCCAAGTGTGAAAATAGTGAGAAATTTAAAAGAGCTAAATTTCATTTAAAATCAATATAAATTGACTAAGCTGAATATAAATAATATTTCTTTATCAAAGATTTTTTAAAAATATTGAAAAGTTCTAGGCATATTATATTAACTTTTAATATAACGTTCCGTATAAGATTTCTGTAATGTTAATGGAATGAGCATGGACGAACATTTTCATGTTATTAGAAGGTTAGTAACAGGTTTATTAACCTCTGCAATGTTGCCATCTTACAATTTAAGGTTACCTCATAGCAATATTAAAGTGCTGTGAGCGTAAAATTATGAATTTCTAGATAAGAACCCAATGAAAAATTTTTCATATATAATTATATAAAATTATATAAAATTATATATAATTATATATAATTATGTATAATTATATATATAA